GGGTTTTCTATGTATAGTATCATATCATCTGCAAACAGGGAGAGTTTAACTTCTTCATTACCAATTTGGATGCCCTTTATTTCTTTCTCTTGCCTTACAATAAATCTCTTTATATCTCTTACTGATTTTCTTTCTCTGGTTGAACACTTAAAGGATACAGATTTTGGTACTGAGAGTAGATTTAGAGGAATAGGATCTTAACGATAAATTTTCTGATTTTTTTTATTCATACATTTGCTGAATGTGTGATGTATTTATTTTGGTAATATATCTATTGTTGGAACCATAGGGTTATAGGGTAAAAATACATTCCACTTTAGTAGACATTGCAAATAGAATTCCAAATTTTTTATACCAATTTACTCTCCCACCAGTGGAGAAGGACATCATGCTTGGTAAAGTAGAGAGTCAGCGAAAAAGAGGAAGACCCTCAATGAGATGGATTGACACAGTGGCTGCAACAATGGGCTCAAGCATAATAACGGTAATGAGGATGGCACAGGACTGGACAGTGTTTCATTCTGTTGTACATATGGTCGCTATGAGTCAGAACCAACTCAATGGCACCTAACAACAACCACCACCAGTGGTGTGCGAATGTTGGCATATTTGTCAACATTTTTTTTTTCAGTCTTTTTAATGTTAGCCTTTATAGTCAGAATGTCGTGGTATTGGCTACTCTGACATCCTCTTTCTGAGCTCTTTTGTCAGGTATGTGCCCATTTTTCTGTTGGGTTTCTTGTCTTTTTTCTTATTGATTGGAGTACTTATCTGCAAATGAGTATTATGTTTGGTACATAATTTAAAAAATCTCTCACGTTTTGCCTTTTCACTCTATAATTGGTGTTTTGATGAACAGAGGTTCTTAACTTGAAAATAGCCAAACATTTCCATTTTTTATTTCATACTTTGTGGGGGTTTTTGGTCTTGTTTAAGAAATTTTTCCTACTCCAAGGTAACAAAGCTGTTCTTTATGCTTCTTTCCTAAAAGCGTCATTGTTTCAATTTTCAGATTTAAATCTTCAGTCCTTTTGTATTTTATTTGTGTTCTGTGAGATAATGACTAATATTGTTTTCCCTATGGGTATCTAGTTGATCCTGAACAATATATAGAAAAGACCTCTTTCCCTTCTCTACTGCACGGTTTTCTTTTCACACATCAAGTTAAAGTGTCTATTTTTATCTAGATTTTTATGTTTATTCCCTTATTTGTCTATCCTTTAGAAAACTCTGCAACGTATCTATCTATTACTGTATATCTCCCATTCTTCTTTCAGATTATACTGGCTCTTCTTAGCGCTTTGCTTTTCTACATAACTTTTATAACCATCTTATCAATATCTTGTGAAAAAACATGCTGGTATTTGTGATCATTAAGGTTGTGTGTCAACTTGGCTGGGCCATGATTCTCAGTGGTTTGGCAGTTGTGATAAAGTTTGTCAGTCATATAATGATGTGATCACCTCCATGATGAGATCTGATATAATGTGATCACCTCCATGATGGAATCTGCCTTGAGTAGGCAATCAGTTGAAAGGCAGTTTCCTTGGGGGTGTAGACTGCATCCAATAAGTGGACTT